CAGGTATGATAAATAGGGCTCCATGGAGGGAAGGAAGTGGTAGCAGAAAAGGAGACTGGGAACATGCAGAACTGATCAAATAAGTTAAAATATTAAAGATACTTGGAGTCCGTTTTTCACTGTCAGAGAAAGGAGTGACAAATATGAAAAAAGAGAAAAGAATGAAACCTGCTCTGTCTGATTGAAATCAAAGGTATCACTATGAATGAATACCTCTTAACATAAAAATATAGCAGCTCCATATACTAATACACGTATTTCTTAGCTCTGTCTACTGATTGGGCCTAACAACAAAATCCCAGTAGCAGTGAACATGTATAGCACCCCAAATTTTGGCTTCTAAGTACCATTCCCCACTAGCAGGGGGGATACTACCAAGTATCTTCCAACAAAATATTAATTATAAAGGAGAAAACAATGACTTTACAGTGGTGTGGACTGAGTAATTGCCCAAGATGTCTAGAATCTAATACCTGGAACCAGGAAATATATTGTCTTAAATGGCTAAAGAGACTTTATAGAGATGACAAAATTAAGAATCTTGAAATGGAGCAATTATCCTAGTGGGACCAATAAAATCAAAGGAGGGAGCAGAGTTGAAGACAGAGACAGTGATACGACAATGAAGGCAAAGGCAGGAATGATGCCCTTTTTGAAAACGAGGGAGGGGCCGCTGCTAAGGAATACAGGCTGTCTTTAGAAGCTGGAAGGACAAGGAAACATTCTATCCAGAGCCTACAGGATGAACCAGCTCTACCAACACTATGACCTTAGCCCAGTGAAACCGATTTTGGACTTCTGGCCCCCTGAATTGTAAGAGAATAAATTTGTGCTATTTTAAGCCACTAAATTTGGGGTAATTTATTACACAATAGGAAACAAATACAAAAACCCTACCAGTCACTACCTTAACCAAGTGATCAGTGAACATCACCAATAATAAGACAACCTGAAATCATACGTGACAGAATACAATGAAAAAGAATACAGCATCAGTTTTGTGAAATTCCTGCCTAAGATATACAACCTGAATCTAATCCTATATAGGAAGATACCAAACAACCCAAATTCAAGTTCATTCTACTAAATAAATGGTCTGTAATATTTAAAGTAAAGGAAGATAGAAGGAGACTAAAGAAATACATCAACTAAATGTAGTGTGATTTTGAATAGAATCTTTAAAGAACATCACTGAGACATAAAATCTGAATGGGCTCTGACAATGAAATGGTAGTAATGTTAATTTTCTGATTTTCATGGTTAAATTATGAACACTTTTGAAATGACCACTGGCGATTTTCAATCTGTGTTTTATTAAATTAAAGCCTCTATTGTCTCCCACTTTTAAATATCAAATCAAGGGAATGTCTGATGAGATTTTATAAAAACAGTGTTGATGTCCCTAGTCAAGAAAAAGTACACATGGTTTTCAGACCCCATCGTCTTATAAAATGTGTGCATGCTCCAACCTAAAAATTAAATCTTAACCTTTCAAGATAATATTTAAGTCAATAAATACCCCTACAAGGTATGGCTTACACACTGGCATGGTGGCATTTAAATTTCTAGCACAATTAAATGTCTACATAAATGAATCTTCCAAATCTCTACATGAATGACCTCAAGTCAAAGTAACTATCACATGTAAAGTCCTTCTAGACAATTTTTTATTTTTATTTTTTGTAGAGATGGTATTTCTCTATGTTGCCCAGGCTGGTTTCAAACTCCTGGGCTCAAGCAATCCTTCCACGTCAGCTTCCCAGAGCACTGAGATTACAAGTGTGAGCCACTATCATCTCACTGCCTGGCAGTTTTTTAATAAGACACTTAGAAAACTAAAGAGAAGTTCATTAATAAACTTCTGGTTTATAGAATTACTAGTTTCATGGCTATTAAAAATTATGCTAGGAATATCATTATTTATGATATTGGTTTTAAAAGAAATTATGCACAATTCCAGAAAAGGGAAATTCTAAGGTCATGAAACATTACAAACAATATATCATCCTTGTTTCTACAGTGGTATCCCTGCCTATCAAAAAGTAAAGAAAATATAGAAAGGAAAAAACAACTCATCATGATCACTGTCAGCAGCTGAACTTACTTAGTAAAGATGCAGGGCAACCCAGGTCTGGATTGGGCTGTGCTTCCTAACCATATACACGTAGTTAGTGCCTTTGCTCAGTCACATTTGTTGATACCAGGATGATCAGCCAGTCCGGAGCACTACTGACTGAGTGAATGAACTCTTAGCACCATATCTGCTGAACCCAGAGAACTGAAGGAATGTTAGCCAGATTTGAAGTCGTTTTTTAGAGACAGAGTCTCACTGTTGCCCAGGCATCAGCCTAGCTCACAGCACCCTCAAACTCCTATGTTCAAGCCATTCTGCCTCTTGCCTCAACTTCCCAAGTAGCTAGAATTACAGGTACCCGCAACCAACAACACCAGCTAATTTTTCTATTATTAGTAGAGATGAGGTCTCACTCTCACTCAGGCTGGTCTCAAACTCCAGAGTTCAAGCAATCCTCCCACCTTGGCCTACCCGAGTGCTAGGATTAGAAGCCTGAGCCTCCTTGCCCAGCCTTAGATCTGAAGTCTTCAAATTCGTTTAGCTGCTTACCACAAAAGAAAAATCATGTACCTTCTTAAAGATTTCTAAGATGGCATCTAAAATTTTTCATATTAAGTTTAAAGAGTTACAAAGGATGTCATCAACATTTTACAATAACTCCATCCTTTTCTTACCTATCTAATGAAATCTAAAACCATACTAATTTCATACAATCATTCATTTACAAATATTCAAGAATAAACCATTCTACCTCACCTACATAATTTTACCCTAATGTAACATCTTTATCATGGTAAGTCGTTTCTTATAGTACTGAAACATACTTCTTAAAATTACTCTGACAATTCCCTGTGACTACAAAGTTTCTCCCAACTTTGTGTTTTGAAAATGTTCAAGCCATCAAAAAAGTTGAAAGAAAACTACAATGAACAATAAAATACTCTTCACCTAAACTCACCAACTGGTAACTGTTTGAAACTCTTGGCTTTTTTCCTTCTTCCCTCTCCCCTCATTTTTATCTGAACTATTTTAGAGGAAGTTGCATATATCAAGACCCTGCACCTCCAAATACTTTGGTACCAATCACCCAAGAACATGAGTAAATCTATCATACTCAAAGTTTAACATCCATAAGATTTTATGTGCTAAATTTTCTCTTTACTTTTTTTTGTGTTATCAAGGCAACAAATATATTACAGACTGATAAATTATTAAAACAACAGTGAAATATATGCAACTTATAAATATCCCAAATGTTCAAAAAGGATAAAAAACTTTTAAATAATAAAAATTTATTTTTATTTTTGAAAATAAAAA